TAATGGATGGGCTTCAGGACAGTCCACAAACTCCCTGAAAACGTACGCCATGCTTTGTGAGGAGGAGCAAACACCGACTTTTCTAGAGAAAGGGTCTATACTTTTCACTGGAACCTCAAAGGGCACATATGGCCCAAGAGTGGTAAATAATCACTGGTCAGGAGTGTTGTGCTTCTTTCTGCTCCATTTTCTTATGGTCTAATTCAAGTAGTACACTAGTAACTAAAAACATGTATTGATTATTCAATTTTTAATGTTATAAAATAGCAGTATATGACTTTTACTTTACCATGAAGACTAATAGAAAAATCAATAGTGTTACCATGTGGTACTGCTTCATTCTCATGAATGTACTTAAATATATTTAGCCCTTTCCTAAAATAGAGGTCTAGGCCCTTGGGGTAGCCATTCCAAGAGGACCCAGCTACGATAAAGGAATGTCCAGAATGTATTTTTGACAGCTTCCATTTACTTTGTTTTATATAAACCCCCTCTGTGGTGTTAAGGAAGCAACAAGAGGTACCTCAGTTCTTTTGTTCAGCATCATGTATGACTGATGTGTCTGGCGGTCTGGTAGTAAAGGTCCTGGGCTTGGGATCAGATCACTTACTCCTCTGCGTTCCTAAGGAACATTTCTTCACCTTGCCTCATCTGTAGAATGGGAGTAAATAATATCTACCCACGGGCAGTCGCTGCTGGTTATCTCTCTATACCCACTTTCCCCTGCTTCCCTGGTAGAGGAACTCCATAATTTCTAAGCTGAGCACATTGTGGCTCAGAGAACAGACCACATTTCCCAGTCTCCCTTGCAGCCACATACTACATTTGGGTCAATGAGATAAAAGTGGAAGCCCTGGCTGGCACTTCTGGGAAGTTTCTTTGAAAGGAAAGGGGTAGGGTGACCTGGGTGGCTCAGTGGTTGAGCATTTGCCTTTGGCTTGGGCAGTGATCCTGGGGTCCTGGGATTGAGTCCTGCATGGGGCTCCCCGCAGGGAGCCGGCTTCTTCCTCTGCCTGTGTCTCTGCCTCTCTGTGTCTGTCATGAATAAAAATAAACAAAATCTTTGAAAAAAATAAAATAAAATAAAAGGAAAGGGGTAGACTTCAGGTTTACCCATCCTGCATGTAAAGAGCTTAGAAGCTGCCACTTTCTCCTAACAAGTAAAAAGCTGAACAGAAAACTCTTCTTGGATGCGTAAGAGAGGCGAACTGCTGTGCCCCAAACTGTTGACAAGACAGGCCAATACAGGGAATTGTGGCTTACCAGAGCAGAGACTCACAAGTAGAAACCACCAGGCCTGGTAGGAAAAGTTGAATTGTAAGTGACAAATTGCTGGAGGCTCAATGTGGACAAGTCTGGAGTTAGGAAGCTGGGGAGAGTCAGTCATAGGGCCGCCCCCACCCCCCACCCCATGCCACACGTCTGTTTCACCTCCTGAAGCCTGACCAGCTTCCCACAGTAAATGTCAAATAAAAACCCCCTCTTGCTTTCAGAATTCCAGAATGGGGAGGGGAGGAGGAAGGAACCATTTTGAATACACAGAGCCCAGTGTACTAACAAGGTCCGCCCAGAGGAGAAACTAGTTACCAAAACCTAAGTGATTGGGGAAAAAAGACACTCACCTGGAGCCCACTCTAACTATCCTGTCCCACTGAAGGGCAGGGTTTGGTGTGAAGAGGATGGGGGGGAGTGGGGGCTGTTTCTAAGAAACACTTGTGAAGTTCACAGTCCAGGGGCAGAGGCTCAGTAAAAATGAGACCAAATCATAGCACTGTAGAATGCCTCCCCCTTCTCCACTTCACCACATCACTAAAGGACTACTTACTGCTGTTCCTTTCATCCAGTGCATGATGTCCAGCTACCAAGAAAAAACTGGAAAGCATACCAAAAGACAAAACAAACAAGACCCACAGAAATCAAGAATGCCTTTGATGGGCTTATTAGTAGACAGGGCACGGAGGAGAAAAGAATTTCTGAGCTGGAAGATACATCCACAGAATCCTCAGAACCAAAAAGCAAAGACAACAAAGACTGAAACAAACAAACAAACCAACCCCAGAACAGAATATCCAAGGAATGTAGGACCACTACAAAAGCTATAAGATACACAAAATGGGATTACTAGAAGAGAGAAAGGAGACTTTCACCACATTATTATTGTCATACATCAAACCAAACCACAGACCAAGAAAAGTCAAGGGCACACCAAGCAGGATGAACACAACACGAAACAAAACACAGCACCCAGGTATATCATTTGCAGATTTACAGAAAATCAAGGATTTTTTTAAAATTCTGAAAGAAGAGGAGAAAAACAATACTACCTATAGAGGAGTACACAATTAGTGACTCCTCAGAGGACTGAACTGGGACTATGAGATTAGACCGTAAGGGTGCTCAAGGGGAGAGGGAACAGGTGAATTTACAGGAAGGCAGGTGAGAAATTACAAATAGTTTTCCTATACTGTTTACTGACAGGGTCATGTCCTCTTGGGGCTGGGGAGCGGGGTGTGTTTTTTTCCAGGTTATTAACATACATCTCTCTTCAAACTCCTCATTAATATGATTGACTCTTCCTTGCCACTCATATTGTTGGTTTTTTCCTTCTTTTTAAAAAGATTTCTTTGGAAGAGAGAGCACGAGAGAGAGCACGAGAATCTCAACCAGATACCCTGCTGAGTGCAGAGCCGATTGTAGGATTCCATCTCATGACTCTGAGATCAGGACCTGAGCTGAAACCAAGGGTTGGTCACCCAACTGACTGAGCCACCCAGGCACCCCTCATATTATTGGTTTTAAATGAAAGTGCCTATATGTTCATACCAAATGTGAAAAATATTCTAACTTTGTTTTTTTTTTTTTTTTAAATGTTCTAACTTTGACATGGAATAGATCCATCTCATATTTAGGAGACCTTTTGGTAAAAACTTTCCCTCTGTGGCATGAGGAAGGATAGAAAGATCTAGAAAAGTTATGTGTAAAGGCAGAGGTTAAAGTATATTGGCCTCTTAAAAATGGAGGCTCATTGTAGGTTACAGTGAAGTGATATAGAAGTTTGCTTTCTATATTGTAAAACATTTTAGATATTGGTTCACTTACTGAACATGTATTAAACACCTATTATACATCAGGGACTATGAAAATCCATTTAAGGTACATCCTAAACAGCCCCTGTCCTTGAAGAACTCTCAGTCTAAACTGGCTGTGGTGGCAACTGTTATATAAACAATTACAGAGCTACATTAACATTAGGGAAAATCCTAAGACCTCACTACTCAAAGTATGGGTTGAGGACCAGACCAAGCCTCTAAAGCCCCTGAATTTGCATTTTAACAAGATCCTCAGGTGATCTGGGTGCTCATCAGGATTTGAGAAGCAATGAACTGTAGGATTATAGACGAAACCACTAATGATCCCTTGAGAAGTGGTGAGAGGTCTTCAGAATGGAGGGGTAATAGGAACGTTCCTGGCTGAAACACTAACAGGTCCGTAATTATGGGAGCTAGAAAGAGTAATAAGGGTTCTGGAATGAGAAGTTTAGTCTGAAAGAAGATTGAGCACTTTGGGAGATGTGGGAGACGGAGCAGCAGAGGTCTGAGGCCAGAGGCAGAAGGGCCAGAATGGCCTGCTTATTAGGAAGCGTTAGAAAATTTTAAGCAGGAAAAGTGACAAGATCAGATTCTTCTATCAGGATATACCATGGTGGTAGGATGAAGGATGAAATGCAGGGGAGAGGTGAAAGCGGGCAGATTTTTATCCTTTAATAAGCAGGCTCCAACTTCGTGCTAGAAAGGAAATCTTTGAGGACTTTAGAAGTGGAGGGGCCACTGAGTCCCTCGGAGAGAAACAAAAAGTTCCAGCTGCAGGTGGATACAGATGGGTTCTTTCTTCTCAAAGTGCGATGCCCAACAGCTTTATTATATTAGCATTATCTGGAAATTATTAGAAATGCAAATCATGGCGTCTTAACTCAGATATACTGTCAGAAACTCTGGGGCCGGGACACCCAAATCTTTACCAAGCTCTTTTTCAATCTTGAGAGCTTGAGAGCACTGCTCTAGTCTGCAAAAATCTCATAGCAGGTGGTAAAGGCTTAGAATTGCCACAAACTTACTTCCTTTCTTGAAAAGAATTAAAAAAGAAAAAAAGGAGGAGGGTAATGAGAACTAAGTTTCTATGTTGAATGGGCAGAACAAAAGCCACACAATAGTCTAGATTTCATATAGTGCCCAGAAAAAAAAAAAAAAAAGATAAAAACACGCACACAAAAAACCGTCTTGTCCCAAAGCCTCACATTTGGAGAAATAAAATAATTTTGGTAGAGGCCGTGATGTTCTCGGTAGCCTCAATTAAGTCAAACTTAAACTAAGTAATCATGCCAGTTGTAAATTCTTTGTTCCCTTCGCTGCCCACAACAACGGCCTCAGGAAAAACACTGGGATTCCTTTTGGCCCTCTCAAAACTGTGCTTCTGATGGAACCGTCTATTAAACAAAAAATTCAACCCTAAATTAAAAGCCCCCAAAACGGAGCGGCGGGGCTGGCGCCGTCGTCCCAGGAAAACGCCCCCGCTTCCCAGCCACACCCCTGCGGACCGCCGCGCCTCCTTCCCGGGCTGTTCCCAAAGATAAATAAATCACTCCTTGTTTTTTCCAGACCTGAAATTAGCGGTGACTCACAGAGTACTCTGAATGGCCACAGTCGCCTGGGGAAGAAGGAAAAATGTGCAGATCTTTCCCTCACGCGAGGGCCCGCCGTGCCGGGCTGGGCCAATCAGGGGAGGATGGCGGGAATCGCACCAAAGTAGGTAAAAAATGCGGGACGTGCTCCCGGCGCTGCGGCCCGCGCCTGGGCTCCCCGGGTCCTCCCTCGGTCTCCCGCCCCGGGGAAGCGGCCCCCCTCGGCCCCCCTCGGCCTCCCCCTTCCTCCACCCCGCTCCCTCGCGCCCTCCATCCCCCTCCTCCCCGTCCTCCCAGGCCCCGCCCCCGGCGCGGCGCACACCTGCCAGGTGGCTACTTCCACGTTGGGGCAGCGGCAGCGCAGTGGGCGGGGCGCAACGCGACTCCGCCCCCCCCGGCGGGGGGAGGAGGGCGCCCGGTCCTCGCCGGCAGGTGCCGTCCCTATCTCTGCCGCCACGTCCCGAGCAGAGGAGGGAGGCCCCACCGCACAGGCCTGAGCCGGTGAGAGGGGCGCGCGGGCCCCCGTCCCCGGAACACGAGGCAGAGCCCTCCGCCCGCTCCCCGGGCGCGGCGCGGCCTGGCCGCCGGTTGCGTGGCAACGGCAGGGAGCGCGTGACGTGCGCAGCCGCGTTGGGGCTCGGGGCTCGGGGCTCGGGGCTCGGGGCTCGAGGCGCGCGCCCCGCCCCGCACCGCCGCGCCCCGCCCCGCCCCGCCGCGCCCCGCCCCGCCGCGCCCCGCCCCGCCCCCCGGCAGGCTCGCGCCGCGCGTCGCCTGCTCGCTGCGTCTGTCGCTGGCTCTGCGGTGCGGAGGTCGCTCTGCTAACTCGGCGCCGGCCGGCCCCCTCCCGCGTCCCTGCGACCGACCGCGGCGGCGAAGATGGTGAGTGGGACGGAGCCTGAGACGCGGGCTGAGGCGGCCGGGGCGGCGGGGCGCTGCGGTCGGGGCTGGGGCGCGGGGGACCGAGCCCGGCTGCAGCCCCCGGGCGCCGGAGGGCGTCTGGGCTTCGTCGCTCGCCTGCGCTGCGAGGCGGCCGGCGGGAGCATCGCGCCCGCGGCTCCTCCCGCCCGGGCCTGGGGACGACCTGCCGCGACCGCGCGCCGCCCCCCCCCCCCGCCCCGCGGTGACGCCCCCGGAGTCCGCCGGCAGCCTGGTGGGCGCCGGGCGGTCAGGGGCTGGTGCGAGCTTCGGCCCATCTCCTCAGGAACGTGAGGCCTTTATCGAGCAGCCCTGGAGGGCGGGCGGATCGCTGCGAGCGCGACCCCGGCGGCATTAAGAGCCGGGTGGCCTCGCGGCCGCTTCGTCCGCCGTCTCTGGCCGCGGCGCTCGTCGCGCCGGGCGGCTGCTCCTTAACCCTTCCCTGCCCGGCCTCTCCTCGTAAGCTCAGACTTTTCCCTTTACCAAAGTGGACAGTTCGGCTCTGCCAGAACTTCGGGTGCGAGCAGTGGGCCTGATGCTGGGATGCTAGTAAAAGCGAATGGATCCGCCTTTTGAAAGCGCGTTGAATTATCCTAGTCCCTAAAAAGTGAATATGCTCTTATACTATAGGGGATGGACGCTTGGCCTGATTCGTTTATTTTCCACTCTGAACTGTCTGTCTAAGACAGTATCCTTAACCGCACCATCAAGTAGAACATTTCGTCGTTTTCTTTAGTCTGCACTCGCTGTTACCATTTTTGGTCAATGATTTGCAGGCAAAGGCTTACCAGACTTTGCTAGAAATATTACACTGTTATTGCATCTGTCTGCCTGGAAGCAGTTGGTACCAGTTTACTGGCACACAGAATGTTTTCGCTGAATGGCAATTTTGGTTTTCTTAAGGTAGTGCAAGGAAGAAAAAGAGATTAACCAGTAGTTTCTTGACTAAGGAGATGTAGTAGGAACTTAATAGTGTTGAGTTTTCTGTTCTTCTTTGGTTTAATTCTGTAAGCTACAAAGAGGAGCAGCGTCTTAAGACTTTTTTAGACCTCTGTAAGATTAGACATGTATATGCTACTTTATATTGAAAGAGTTGATCTAAGGGTTTTGATTTAATCCAAGGGTCTCATAAATTTAAGACCATCCATTCTAATGAAACTGCTTTGAAGTGGGCTGGAGCCTGCTTTAGGTTCTTTTGATTTGACTTTTTTTTTTTTTTTACAGACTTTATCTTCTATTTGAAAACAAGACCAGGCATTTTAACTTTAGTTAAATTTTAGTTCAAGCTTAACTGTCACATTTCTGTGCACGCAAATGAAATGAAGAAAGGGTCTGTTTTATTTACTAGTTTTTGCAAGAGGAAGAGAACTAAAATCAAGATGAGTGGGTTTTAGGGGGCACCTGGTGGCTCAGTGGTTGAGCATCTGCCTTCGGCTCAGGTCGTGATCCCCCCATCCCACCCCCCCCCCTGGGATTGAGTCCCACGTTGGGTTCCCTGCAGGGAGCCTGCTTCTCCCTCTGCCTGTGTCTCTGCCTTTCTCTCTGTGTGCCTCATGAATAAATAAATAAAATCTTAAAAAAACAGACAAACATAAGTGGGTTTCAGATACATCTCAAACTTACTGGCCTTAGGCAGGTCAAGAAGACCTTACAAGCTCCTGTTGTTTGGATGCTTGCAAATAGAGTTCAGAATACAGACGGACCATTTGTAAAGGTTACTTTTGTTAGCCTTATGAGCACAGAACATCTCCTTTCAGTGTCGGCCAGTAGAGGGTATTATGAAGATTGAAAGTTCTTTTATCTTTTATTCTAGATTTTAGCACTCTACCTCTATATTTGAAACTGAGGTTCCAAGTTTCTAAAGTTTTTGGTTGTTGTTGTTGTTACAGTTAAATTTTAGGGGTTGACCAGTCGTTTAAGCATCCACGTCTTGATTTCGGCTCAGATCATCTCAGGGTTGTGAGATCCAGTCCTGGGTTGGGCTCAAAGCTGGGCGTGAACTTACTTAAGATTCTCTTCCTCTCCCTCTGCCCTTCCCCAACCCCTATTTGAGTTTTCTCTGAAGGGTGGGGGGGGGGGTTGGAATTCTTTTTAGCTGCTGATAGGTTTGTTCTGCATTAACAAAATCACTTCTGGTACTCACCAAGCTTTCTGGAAGCACTTGGGAATAAAAGCAATTTGAAACCAACTCAAAAGATCACTTTTGGGCACTTTCAGATGAGATTTCATGTTTTCAGAATCTCACTTTACCGTGCCAAAAAAAAAAAAAAAAAAAAAGCCTGCCTACACAGGAACCACATCTACCCACTCCAGACAAAACTTTGGAGTGTGTGTGTGCACGCGCCCTGAACATGCCGGTGTCCTCCTAAAAAGATTATTTACTAGTCTACCATTAAGTTCCTAGGTTTATCTGCTCAGTAGTTCTTTTGTTGGGTAAGGATCAAGACATTACACATAGACTTGCCTAGTGCCTCTTGTAACCAATGGCATATGACGTTTATAGCATACTCTCTGGCTCTCCGGGAGTAGGAGTATAATGTTGACCTTGAAATAGGTAAAAGTCTGTATGATAATTCAGCTTTGCCCCAGTCAGAACTCTGCTGTAACAAACTGAGCTAATTGGCTCAGGATGAATTACAAATGCATTCTACCACTATGATTAGGAAAAATACCTTTACTTATAGTAATGTAGTGGAATAGGTTGGGCATGTGTTCATGTGCCTATTTAACATGAAAAACAGACTGTAAGGGATTGATTGACTTGTGACCTTTTTTGACTCCACATCAAGTTTTAACATAATTTACAAATTAATTTTGAAGCATGTTAAGCAGAGTACGCAGAAATAACAAGTCTTTTTGTATGAAAAATGAAAATTTTTTTTTGCTGTATTTCAGGTTTCTATGTTACCATTACAGCTAAATCTGCATCATCTTCTGCATCCCATTCTCTTCCTGCCCCAGAGATAACCATTCCTGTGTCAAAGACATAATGTACTGGTCAGTTAAGGAGATGACTTTTTTAAGGCTATTGCAATTGGGAGAACATTAGTTAATAAGGAATGTCTAAAAAAAAAAAAAAAAAAAAAAAGACAAGGACCTGGGGCAAGTAAAACAGGGAGTCGTGAGGAACCACACAGGTCTTATCACAATAAACAAGGGCAGGATCTTTTCCTTACCAGTTTCCCAAAACGCAAAATGATGGAAGTGGATTTCTTAACCATCACTGATTTCCAGGAGCGCAAGGCTCAGGTGAACTTTAACATAATCAACTGAAATTAAAGTATTTCGTTCTCATTGATATTTCCAGATCTTTAGCTATGTATGTTTGCAGCCGAAATAATATATACTGTTTTGATGTGATCTTAAATTTCGTATAAATGTTATATGCTTTAGGTATCCTTTTGCAACTTGGTGAGTTTTTTGGGGAGGGAGATGATTTTTTGTTTTACCTGTAGCTATGGTTCTTTATATTAACCGCTAAATAGTTTCCATATTGTGACTATGTAAGTTTATCCATTCCCCTATTGATGAACATTTCCCCAGTTTTTCATCATTTTATCTTTCTTTTGTCTATGTAAACAGTTTTGCAATTGACAGTTTCCATATTTTATGTTACTTATGTTGCCCCAGTGAGTGTGTTCTTGGTATAGACCCAAAAGTGGAAGCCCTGGATTGGAGGGTGTGTGTTTATATTTTTTACTCTAAGTAGTTCTAAGTTTGCATCCTATTTATCATCCTGTTTCTCCATTTCTTTTCACCACTTGGTATTATGAATCTTAAAACCTTTGCCAATCTGATGGGTGTGAAAATAACTTCTTACTCTTTTAATTTGTATTTCTCTTCATTAGTACTAAAGTATCTTTTTATGTTTATAGCAGCCTGTGTTTTTACATGCATGTCCATCTGGTGAACCTGACATTATGTACTTATCATGTCTTCATCTAGGCTTATTTGTGGAGTCATAAAGTAAATCCAGTGTTAAAATCTTTAAGAATGTGATTGTCAATGTCAGAACTGCATACTGAGGGCTGATATCTTTCTCTAGAACCTCCATTTTTTTCATGCCTCTTAAGCTGCTAAGTAAGAGAAGTTAAATACCCTTCATTCTAGCCACTTGACATTGTCAGGCCCTGGTAGTGGTGGAATGCAGAAATGATCCAGGATAGAGTTCCATCTTTGAGAGAGGCCATGGAGATTAACGTCCTCTACTTATCTCTTTTTCTTGGGTAATTCATCCAGCCAGATGTTAAAAACAAACAAGCACTGGGGAATATATGGAAAAATCTCAGTGCTTTCCACTCAATTTGTGTGTGAACTTAAAATTAAAATGTCCCTAAAAAAAGAAAGTCTACTAAAAAAGAAACAAAACAAATAATTGTGACTATTTTTCATCAGTAGAATTGGTTTTAATCGAGCTGAGGTTTAACTTAATATCCAGGAAGACTCCAGACATTTTCATTTTTATGTTAATGTAACTTTATTTCAGTAATAACTAAGTTCTTTGCCATGAACACCATAATTGAAATTAGAAA